ATCCCCGTTATTACGGCTGCCCGCCTCCCCCCCCCCCCCCGCCTCCCCCAGCTCCCCGCCCGGTGTGGTGTTCTTGTGGTTTTACTCCTGCACATCAGGCAGTGGAGCAGCATGGCAATGACATCGTCTGCATCAACGAGCTCTGGTCGAGGTACAAGGGCAAAGCATCTCTCAGGTACGTTCCCTCCCTCTCTTGCCCTTCTGCCTTCCCTCTGCTCCTCATCCCCCCCCTTGCTGAATACCTCTTCCGTCATTCCCATCCTCTTGTTCACTTCAGATTTTTACCTCTGGTGTCCTGTTCCTTTCTTTTCCTCCCTCCTTACCTTCTCATACACAGCATGGCCTCCTCTACTTAACTAACGAAAGCGGAGCTGCTGCAAGGCATGTGGCAACGTGGGACCACCCTAGGCACCATCGCGATAGTTCGACAACTCAACTTCTCCTCTTTGACTTAGAGCAATCAGCACTTTCAACCATTTCATTCACGAAAAAGAAACTTTCTTCGCCCAGATCGATTAGAGTCTACATTTCCCTACTCCCTTCACATCTCTTTTTTACATCTAAAAGCTCGAGCTGGCTGCAGGGCCTTAACGTCATGAGGGAGGCAGCCCGTACTTTGCTTGCAGCCCCTCCTTCACCTCCTGGGGGACCCGCCCGTACACCCCCTGCCACTGGTTCACGCTCTCCAGGTTCGCCTTGAACCACTGGAGCAGCTCAGAGATTTCCTTGCGGAGCTCCGGGGATAGTTTCTCCTGCTGCCACGAGTCCAGCGCCTTGAACAGAATGTCCATAGAGTCCAAGCAGCCCTGAGGGTTCATAGTCGCCATCTTGATCAGCCCGCGGAAGGCATGCTCCTTCTCAATGTCGTCTCGGATCCCCGTCAGTTCCTTGCACCATGGCTGGATGAACTGCTGCAGGCTGGGAGCTACGACCTCAGGGCAGACGAAGCCGAATCTCCCGATGGTGATGGCTGTGTTCTGAAGGAGATTTCTGTTCAGCTGAGGACGGCACATCAGGTTGATCAGCGGGATGAGCAGGTTGTTCACTACACCCGCCACCTCGCTGCCCAGTCTGATCACGATCTCCCCGACTGACCAGCAGGCGTTGTTACACACCGAGAGAATCTCCGGGTCCAAGTTCATCTGCACCGAAGGGAAGATGCCCTCGAGGTAGGGTCGCAGGTGAGTCAGGCACGTCTTGGCCAGGTCACCCAGCAGGGCGAAGGCACTCTGCCGCACGTCTGGCGAGATATGATGGAAGCACTTCATCATCATGGGCAGGAGCTGGCTGTTGCTGACGAGGCTCTCAATGGAGCCCTCGAGCCCCTCTGCCATGCCGGAGATGAGGTCGAGGGAGCACACGATGTACTCATCCTCAAGGCAGTTGTAGGGGTCCTTCTCTTGAGACTCGAGAGCTTGGCCTATCAGCTGGATCGAGCGATTGAACACAGGCTGTGCATACTGAACAAAGCTCAGGCCGACAGCTTGTACGACCGATGAGAGGCACTCGAGCATGGGGAACAGACTTCTGTCTTCGTCTTTCAGCGACTCCCACTTGGCGAGGAGGGGAGGAAGCAAGAGGTTGACCAGGTCCGGCCTCATCAGCTCCTTCCCGATGGAGTCCGCAAGAGTGCCGCAGGCATCATACAAGATGATAAGATTCTTCGCCTGATACTTGCTGAAAGCTTGAGCGTACACCTGGAGAATCGTGGGCACGTGAGGCATGAGTACCATCCGCGCCTCCTCCTCCAGCACTGCCATAGCGGATACAGCAGCTTCCTGGACCCTCTTACTGTTGTCCAGCATACACTTCAAGAGCCCCATCACGAGCGGCTCGAGCATCGGCCCTCCGATCCCCTCATCCGGCTTCCCGCCGCTGTAGGAGATGAATCGAGAGTAGCGGCTGAGTGTCCAACAGGTGATGCTGCGCAGGAGAGGTTTGTCGCTGTTCAGCACAGCGTTGATGAGGTGGACGATGAAATTCGGCAAGTACTGCCTCTCGAGCAGGCCAGCTTCACAACCCTCAGCGAGAGCTCCCATGGCTAGCACGGCGCTCTCCTGTACCTTCCAGTCGGGATCCTGTAGCTTGCTGTGGATGTGAGGAAGGAGCGCGTCGAGGATGTTCGCCTGGTAGTGGTTGGCGATCGTATCCAAACCAGATGCTGAACATTTGCGCAGAGTCCAATCTATTCCTCCATCCTCATCCTCATCCTCCTCATCCTCCTCATCCTCCTGCTCCGCCACCGCATGCTTCGAGTGGTGGTGGAGGGAGGCCGGATTGATCTCCTCGGTCTTGTCGGGGACACTGTCCAAATCATCCGAGAGGACACTCAGCTCCTCCTCGCTGTAAACCATCCCATTGAGCAGGACGAGGGTCAGTCGAGTCAGGTACGGCTTCAGCACACCAGCAGGAACTTCATCGTTCTCGCAGATGGTGGACCAGAATTCGCATGCCTCCTTCTTCACGTCGTAGTCTGAGTCATGCTCCGTCGTCCACAAGAGGAACTCAATCACAAAGGTGCAGATGTTTGGATCTGCAAGGAAATCGGCCTTCATCTCCGCAAGCAAGCACAAGCTGGTGCAAATCTCCTTCCTCACTTCGGCTGAGGAGTCCTTGTGAAGGTCCAGCAAGCCCTTGAGAAACGAGTCCATGTTCATGAGGAACGCGTTCGGGAGGGGGAGGATGAATTGCCGGATGCAGTTTATGGCTGCGGCACGGAGGTCTCCTCTGGGCAGATGAAAGAGCGAGATGAACTTGGCTATCATCTGGTTCAGTCGCTCCCCAAACTCCTGCTCGCACAGCTGCCGGGTATGATCTTCACAGATCAGTCTCAGAGCTCCCAGAGAGCCTTCAACGTGGTTCTCCGACCCGCTGTTCAACAGCTCCATCAACTTGGGCAAGAGCTCTGGCCAAGTCTTCAGGCTGCTGTCCTCCCTTGCAACGATGGTGGTCACAATCTGTGCCGCAGTTCTGCGGAAGATCCGCTCAGGATCTCCAAGCATGCTCAGCACTTCACTCCGCACAAACCCCAGCACATCAGTCTTCATGTGCTTGTCTTTGATTGTGTTCTTCAGGTGGATGCCAGCCAGCTGTCGCAGCTCCAGCGCAGCCGATGGCATCTTGCAGAAAACAACCAGCAAGTAGCACCCGAAATCCGGGTAATCTCGTTTAGCCTGGTCAAGCATCTGCAGCGCCTGCACATGGACCTGATGGTTGGTCGGGTCCGCCGCTCCACTCAGCAGCTGACCGACCTGGTCTAACTTAACCTGGTCCGGCTGCCAGCCAGCCATCCTGTGCTCCCCTGCGAGACAGCTTCAGTACTTGCACGCCGTCAGTCAGGATATGTAGGACAGGTGGACAAGAACAAGTCCTCGCAAGCCATGGCGGCATAAGACGAGCGAGCATGCCAACGTGAAACTTCAACTGGTTCGTCATGAGACATTCGCGAGATCACAGAGGGGAGAAAACGCTATGGGCCATCAAGTTCCTGTTCTGCTGCATGGTTACAAGTTGGGATGATAATATGAGAATGAGCAGAACACCATGAGTACGACGCCATAGCTAGGCCGAGCAACGCAATGAACAAAGAAGATGGAGTTTATGTTGGTGAAGTACGGACTAGGAGAAAGGAGAAAAAGGATGAAGTGAAATAACAGGAGCTACAGCGAGATGAAGCAGCAAGGGATGAAAACGAAAGATGGCGGAAGAAAGCGTTGGAGTAGTTTTGAGCATGGGTCGGAGCTGGCCATGACTCATCACGCCCTGGCATGGCAAGCCCTGCTGGTGACCCGCCAAACAAGCGGGGCAGTGCATGGAGAGGAAGTCCCAGAACATTGGGTGGTGGGGGTACTACGGGAAGTAGGGGTAGGGTGGAAGAAGGGTAGCAGAACCATTAGAAGGGGGGTAGTGTGTTCACCGAGCAACCAAAGGTGTCCGAACAGAGGGGTTAAATGATTGTATCAGGTAGGTCATGTAAGGGGTCCTCCGGTGGAGAATCCGAAGGATGGGGTAGGGTGGTAGACAGGCGGATGGGCGTGTAGGTTAGGCTGATGGGGTCCCTTTATTATAGACAAAAAGTGAATTCTGGTATAAATTGGTGGAGGGGGTAGGGGTACCAAAAATTGCAAATTCGTGGAGAGGTGGCATCAACAGCAGGGGTGTTGGAGTAGTTTATGAGGGGTGGGTACTTCATCTGAGGAGGTAGTGTTCCGAAGCAGGGTGGGTTATAGTAATAAAGGATCATTAGGGGGTAGGGGGTACATTGGGGATGCTATGGGTGGGTCTGGGTTAGGGTGGGTGGGTCTGAAATGGTCGCGTGCAAGCCTCTTGAGACCCGGGCCACTAGCCGAAGTTCGCGACTCGGAGGACGGGCCGGTAAGGCCGGGCCCGGCAAATCAAGGCAGCAACAAAGGTATAGGAAGGTCACGTAGTAAAATATTCACTGTCCTGGGAGCGACAAAATGGCAGCCGGAGGGAACAAAACAAAGAGCAGGGCAGGCTGAGGAAAGTGACAGCATAGAACATCAGCTTGCACGAACATCAAGAAGAACAGGATCAGAAACAGGACTTCAAAGAGGAAGAGGGCCAGCAGGGAGAGGAAAGGAGCTCTGCTGCTTCATCAGCGTTAGCTTGCTACACTGTGTGATCCATTCAACAAACACTTGCCAGTTGCAACTTGAACGGAGTCAAGTAGACTGAGGGCAAGCAGCAGGACAAAGAGGATAAGACAAATATCAACAACCACTGGTTCTAGCTCGAGCAGGTTCAACCGCACTCTTGTCCTTCTCCACAGCGCTGGTTCGCGGTACATCAATGCTGCAACAACTCAAGGCGACCTTCAAGGAGGCGCTCAAGGTGGAGCATCGACGAGTCTCTGCTCGTCGTTGACATGCTGCTGCCGCAGGAGGGGGTGAAGGAGGCTGGACGACAAGTCCGAGCCACCGTTGAGAGGCAGCGTGACCTCCAGCCGTCACGGAGCGAAGACATCCCGACATGCGACGAGTCCAACGGGAAACTGAGAGAGTAGGAGGCCCTTCTCTTCCTCCATCTCCTCGCTGATGCACCTCCGACTCCAGGAAGTTCGCCGAGCTCGAGCTCACCATCATCGAGGGTAGGGACCTTCCAGCAAGCACATGGGAGAACGCAGGTGAAGGTGGCGAGAGATGTGCCGAGTGCTGAGGACGTGCGGCAGGCACTCTTGGCCTGCTCGACTCGTACTGCGTCGTCAAAGTGGAAGGAGCGAGGAGATCGACCGCCGGTTGCTTCATCACAGTCACTCTTTGCTCTTGTTGACGAGGACGTGTCAGTGTCCAAAAGACAAGTCAACCCTGAGTGGAACGTGCGGATGAAGTTTAGCATAACAGATCTGTCAACAGATATTGTCATCCAGGTCATTTGTTTTCCTTCTCCCTCCTCATTCCTCCCCCGCTCCCCCCCTCCTCTCCTTTCAACTTTCCTCCTCCTACTCCACATCCTCCAGCCTGTTGAACGCAGGCAGGTCTACAGCATCAGCTCCTCTGGGGCATTCGAGAACACGAAACTGATTGGGCAGTGCATCTTGCCATTGGCGCACATCCTGCCAAGTCTCATGCCAGAGCACGTGCAAGTTGCTTCCGTGCACGGAGTCCCAACGGTCAGGAGGGCGGAACAAGCAGACTGTACAGACCAGGAGGCCTGGATGGAGCTGTTCCCTCTTTCAAAGACGTCGAGCAAGTTCGAGGTGATCCCAAAGGAGCTCTCGAATGACGTGGACGGGATGCTGCGGCCCCGGTACCCTCTGGGGAAGATCAAGGTATTGAGGGGAAAGAAGGAGACGCTTGCTATGGCTGACAGCCTTTCCTTGAGGTGCGGACGAAGCTGCAGCTGCTGCGATCTATGAGAGACATCTACCTGAATGCTGCTATCCCGATCAACCCGATTTCGATAGGGAGGAAGCAGAAGGTAAGGGGGAATGGTGATGATGGTGCCGAGTATAGGAGGAGGTTTTGGCAGTGGGGGCAGGAGGGAGAGGGGAGTGGGAGATGGACGGGGGTGAAGGAAGGAGGGAGTCTGACAGACGGCAAAGGCTTCGGATGATGATGGACTCCCAAACCTGAAGCAGCTCAAGTGGAATTGTCTCAGGATCAAAGTGATGTGACCGCATGCCCCCTTGCACCCCGTCTGACCGTCGGTCATGGCAGACGGCTGTCGCTCGACCTCCGTCCTGGTGGAAGCTGATCGTGCTGATGCGGAGCTGGGAGGTGAAGCCAACGGACGAGTGAGGCAGGATGTCTCTGACGGACCTCGTGCAGCGTCCCCTTCTCTCCATCTTGTGGATCTTGCTGCTCGTCGGGGTGGCGTTGAAGGCGGAGGTTTGGCCCCCTCCTCCTCTCATTCCCACCGCTGACACCCAACAGCTCTGGCAAGTTCCGCTCATCTCCTCGAGCCTCGTCTGCTGCCTGAGGTGCCCACCGCTCGTGGTGGACAGGCTCTCATGTGCCGCAGCATCTTTTCCCGCACTGCAAGGAGGTTGGAGAGAGAAAAGTCGGTGCCAACTTGGCATGAGCCCGGGCACGCGCGGGTTTGATTGCCATGACGCGTTGACTTGTATCACGGATGCTGCACGGCAGAGAAATGTGGTGGAGAAGGCGCGAGAAGCTAAGGCAACTCTGTTGCGCCTGCAGCGCGAGACTGGTTTGCAAAATTTTCTCAACTTCTCCTCTTATCGTCCCTCCTCTCCTTCCCTCTCTTCCTCCCTCTCCTGCCCTCTCCTCTCTCTCTCTCTCTCTCTCGTCTTGTACCTCTCAGTCTCAATGTCCCTTCCTCGCTGGATCTGTTGCGCGGTCACCCCTGAACACACATGAGCAGGGCGTGCAGCTTCCAACATTGAGAAGTTGAGGAACGCGTTCAACTGGTCGGACGAGAACGCCTCGTGGTTCATCTGCTGTACCGTCTCCATTTGTGGCGCCAGCATGTCACTATTGGTGATCGACCTCCTACATCGCTTCATGTGTCTGACCCGCTCCTCTAGCTCTACAGCCTCTCCCTCTTCTTCCAAGTCGTCCCCCCCCGGCTCATCCTTGCCTTTGGTGCCTGTCCTTGCCAGTGTTGTTCGAGGCGCCGGACTGACTGGATCTCCAAGGGATGATTTTGATGAACCTTCCCCCTCCTCTCCGGGAGATGTTTGCACTCCGGACCCTGCAACGGTCCGTCCTTTCTGCTCCCTTCCTGTCCTTTTGACCTCCCCGAAGCAATCAGATGCTCCGCTCGTTTATCATGGACGTCCGAGCCGCATGCGGGTTCTGCTGGTCCGAGCGAAGCGACTGCCCTCCTCCTTGAGTGACTTTCGCTCTTCCAGCCCCTCCAAGGATCTCCTCCAAGAGGAGAACGAGGACGATGCGCTCAGCTACGTTGACATCTTCGCTGAACGACAAGCCGAGGTAAACAACCTCCTGCTCGCCATTCCCCTCATCTCTCCTCCTCGCGCTTCTGCAGGAGGCGACAGCCTTCGGTCCGCTTGGAGAAGCGTTCCACTCCCTCCGCAAGGTGACAGGCAGGCATGACGATGAGGCTTGCTCGTGAGCTGCTCTGGTAGTTGTGGAAGCATGTACCCAACGAGATGGACATGGTCCATCGGACCATCTGCAAGCGGCAGGTGCCAGAGGACAGAGCGAGGAGACACAAGTGAGAGCATACGATGCCCCGCAGGTCGGCGAGACTTCGCGGCGACCATGTCGGCCCCTCCTGGCTGACTGTGAGACTCCCGAGGCTGAAGGACCCAGCGCAGCGAAAGGGTGAGACGTGTGCTGTCACTTGTCGGGTGATCGAGATGATCGCGACAGGCCGCTCAAGCTCAGGAGCGCAGAAGCTCCTTCCTCTGCCGACGAGGAGAGGTGCCATGGCCCGCTGCACCTCACAAGCATTGTCTCATCCTCCTCTATCCGCAGGCTTCAGTCAGAAGTGCAACGAGAGCTTGATGAGATGGGATACCCTGCAGCCGAGGTGAGGTGGAAGCAGGAAGGAGGTTCGCGCGCAGCGGCATGTGACCTCCAGGAAGCAGGAAGAGGAGGATGAAGCCGCTCGTCTGATGAAGCTCCGGCCTCAAGAGCTCATCGATGAGATCAGAAAGGTGCTCCCTCCTCCTTCCTCTCTCTCCCTGACGCGCTGGTGGCGACTAGCTGGGGAAGGAGCCCAAGGGTCTTGTCGAGAAGCAGGAGCTAGTCGCCGAGCTGATCGGGTGACTTGAGATGGAAGGTCCCGCCGGGTGGGCAGTAGGTTATGAGCCTCTTGAGCAGGCTCCGAAGTTCCTTGCGGGGCGATACCAGGAATGAGGAGCAGAAATCAGCTGACGTGGACTGGTGAGACTCCTGGCATGCTAAGCCGATGAGCTGAACAACAAAGTGAGCAGGAGCGAGAAGCTGAATCTCCTGGTGGAGATGGGATTCACTGATTTGAGTGAGACAACTTGACTATCTGCTGCTGATGCCTCGTGTTGACTTGCTCGCCGTGCTCCCTCAGTCGAGAACGAGGAACTCCTCCATCGTCATGGAGGAGACGTCAAGGTGAGACGCTACCATGGCGAGCTACTAGGCTATGACGTTGCTGAGCAGAAGGTGATTGAAGCCATCCTGAAGCGATGAAGCCTGTGAAGCGGGCGCAAGTCAACGTTGAGCTGGACACTGGATGAATCAAGTTGTAACAGTTGAACTGCCTAGCGCTCCCCCCCCCTCCCCCTTCCCAGTCACTGGTGGGGCCACACATAGCGCTCTATGAGCCTGTGCGAGCCCAGTGAGAGAGTCTCGGTGAGCGGGCCCCGGCCCGGCCTCCGAGTCCGGCCGGGCGGCTACTCAGCCTAGGCTACTATCCTCTATCCCCGCTTCCCCACTCAGTCCACAATTATAAAAAAAAGTGGTTTCAAACTTGACGACGGCCTCAGCCTCTACTAAGGGTGGGTACGTCTATTGCGAGGAGGGGTCCTTCAAAAAGAAAAGGCTCTAACTCCTCGGGGGTGGGGTGAGGAACGATGTATGGTAGGGTAGTGACAGCGGGAGTTTGATGGGTTCAAGGAAGCACGATGAAGATTACCGGGGGGATGGTCGAGCCGACGGCAGGAAACAGGAGGATGTAGACGAGAAGATCATGAGGATCATGACAGACAAGCCTCCTGCTCATGTTCAGTCCCGTGTCGAGCCCTTGTGAGATTGACCATGATGCAACAGAGCGGCTTTATGGGGGAAAGAAATTAAACCTGCTGTCGGGGCAGGGAATGGACAGGACGAGGGAAAATGGACCGCCAACAGGATCAAGCTCGCCTGCCAGAACTCCATCGTCTAGTGAAGGCGAGACGCCGACCATGACGCCTGATCTTAGCCCTTCGGCATCGTACCTATCGATCTCGTCGGGCAGCAATGCCAGTCTCAACACCTTCGAGGCTTCTAGAGGCGCGAGCAGCGTCTCGCCGCCCTTGTCTCACTCTAGCTCTCTTGCCTTCGCCTCCATCCGAGACGTGAGCTGCTTGCGATGATCGTTTCCTCCCATCCCATGCTGGATGGCTCTGACTCGCTTCACAGGAGGTCTGGTATGGTACCCAGCATCCCCTGGCGAGAGTGGAGGACACGCATGCAAATCGTGTGGAAGCGCTAGCCGTCATGCTCGATGACCACCTGACGAGCCTGGGGATGAGAGCCTTGGAGGTGAAGAGCGCATGGAAGCATGCGAGGCTTGACGAGACTACGCAGGTGACAGGAAGGCATGAGAGAAGGATGGAAACTTTGAAGACGAAGATTGCTGTGCTCCGAAGGCACCTCACAGAGAGACGTCTGCATCATGATAATCGAGCCGAGGAGAACGAAGGCCTCGAGGTTTTGACCGGGACATTCTTCCGCTCTTGTTGACATGGTGCAAAGGAACGAGCAAGTTCCAACCATGACATGATTACAAGCATCGTAAGAGTTAGAGAGAACTCAGAGAAAGAGGCAAGAAGTTGCCGCTGATCATCTTCTATGTCTGATGCTCCTGCCTTTCTCAGGAGGACAGCGAGTTTCGAGACGCTCTGGTGTCTCAGGTTGGAATGCTTTGTTCGAGGAGCATGCAGGGAGTGACGTTGATATTTTGAAGGCGGTCTTCGTTACTCAGAGTGTGATTGACAGACTCAAGGAGGAGTTTGAGATCCTGATGAAGCAGAAAGACGAGGAGATCGACGAGCTGAACTCCGTGCTGATCTCAAGAGATGAAACGAACAAGGAGTTGCAGGAAGAGCTCGCATGTTGTCAAGCAGAGTTGAACGAGGCGCAAGAGGAGCTGCATTGGTTGGGTAGTTGGAGGTAATGATGGGAGATTGACGCAACAGCTTGCCAGGAGAGACTCTGTGAGAGAATGTTGTGAAAGCTTTGCTGCGAAGTTGGCTGAAGAAGCAAGAGAAGCAATGGATGAGATTACGGAGGTTGAAATCATCCACTGGCGAGGTGTTGTTATGCTGACTGCTACTGTAAAGATCGTCGGAAGCGAACATGATGCAGCAGCCGGTATACCTCGTTCAACCTTCCGAGATGCCTTCGCTGTCCCCTGACTGATTTTCAGATGCATCACTGGGCGAAATCATCAGCACGAGTTCAGACATTCTGTTGCAGGACATGGAGTGGTGGACCACCAGCCTGCCTCGACAAGCTCCTCGGGGCTTCCGGTTGTACAATAGGAGGAGACAGAGGTAAAGACGTTTGCTGATGTATCCCTCGCTGATACGAAGGGATAGGATGAGGAAGAGCAGGAGGGCTGTAAAGGAAAGACGTGAAGTACCGGAGGACGAGGAATTCAACAGCTCCTTTCAAACAAATCACCGCGATCACGAAGCCAAGCTTGAGAAGTTTACAAGCTGGAGAGGAGCAAGCAACCAATGCTTCGCCAAGAGCCATCGCAAGGAGAGGAAGGATCGGGGCCAGTGTTTTCATTCGTGCGCGGAGGTGCGAAGGCTGAGGCGAGAGAGGAGAAAGACGCAACTGGACCTGCATCACTACGAGACCGAGATTGAGTTCCTCAGGGCCAAACTCTCTCAGTCGAGGCTGTCACAAGTCAGCGGGCTCAGCAGCGGCTTCTTCGAGGGGAGGGGGGACGGGGGTCCGTTCCCGCTGGTGTCCAACTCCTCCTCCGAGACCAACGAGACGCAGATCAACGAGCTCGAGCAGGTGAGGTGCGAGAACGACCACCTGCATGGCCAGCTCTCCTTGCTCAAGACTCGCCTGCTCCTCATCGCCTCCATGTGCTTCGACATCAACGGCATGCTCAGCCTCTTTGTGCGAGACCTCCATGGCCTCGAGAGCCTCCAAGGCGAATCAGGCCAGCTGGGGCCGGAGCTGGGCTCGTTCCTGAACATCATGGATGCGCAACTGATCCTGTTGGAGCAGCAGGCGACGTCCAGCTCGCAGATGCTGCAGACGGCGCAGACCAACGTTGTGGTCAGCATGCAGAGGCTGATGCTGCGCATGCAGCAGGAGTCGAGGCGGACGAGGGAGAAGATGAGGGTCAAGTTTGCGCAGCAGAGGGTTGAGATGATCGCCAAGGCCCTTACCTTCCTCCACCTGAGGATCCAGCGGGCGCTGACCCGCGCAGCTTGCCAGGCCTGGGACGAGCTTGTCCTCGTCCTCAAGCACAGCCGTCGACTCTTGACGATCAGGGTGTTGAGGAGGTGGAGGCAGCTGATGGAGGAGGAAGCTGCTGCGAGGAAGGAGAAGAACCATGAGGAGGCGATCCTGCTCGCGCAGGAAGCGCTCATGCAGTGCGAGAACTACATGCATGCGCTCAACGTGGCCGAGGAGAGGCTGGGGGAGCTACGAGCGGCAGCGGGGGAGCCGAGGGTTCAGCGGCAGCAGGAGGGAGGGGAGCTGATCTTGAGGCTCAAGGAGGACATAGGACGGCAGATCGATCTTGTAACCGCTAGGGACGAGGGGGGAGGGAGGAGGAGCAGGAGGATGTATCAGCCGACTTGAGGCCATGTACAACAGAGTGAAGTGAAGTGAAGGTGTTCTTGAAGGGATCGACCATGACCTCACACCCCCTTCCTCCTCCTCTTGTACCCTCTCCCACCTCCTCCTCTTCTCCTCCTGCCCCGTCTCCCACCTCCTCCTCTTCTCCTCCTGCCCGGTCTCCCACCTCCTCCTCTTCTCCTCCTGCCCGGTCTCCCACCTCCTCCTCTTCTCCTCCTGCCCGGTCTCCCACCTCCTCCTCTTCTCCTCCTGCCCCGTCTCCCCTCCCCCGACTCGGGCATTTCCCACGAGTCTCAATTTTCACTCACCGGCGGTTGAATTCTTCGTCGCCCCTACCCGCTGCTCTCCATCCTCCCCTTCTCTACCTGCTTCCGTTTCTTGCTCGTCCTCCTTCCCAGTCGCTCCTCCCTCTTCTTCCTCCTGCTTCTGAACCACCGCCATGTCCACCCGACCAGCAGGTACCATGTTTGTTCTATTTCACCCCGCCATGCTTGACATTACATATAGGACGCGCGAAGAAATCGGCTGAGTCGCAGGACGTGCACGTAGCTGCTCGCAAGGGGAACGTGGCGGCAGTTCGGAGGCTGGTGGAGCGATCGGGACTGTGAGTTTCTCCTGCTCCTCCCCTGCTTGACGCGCTGCAGGGTCGATCAGGCGTCTGTTGAAAGCGGGAAGACAGCTCTGCATGTCGCCTGCCAGGTACCAGAGGATGCTGCGTCATGCTGGACCTGCTGCCTCACACTCTCCGCGTCAGTTCGGTCAGGCCAACGTAGCGAGAGTTCTCCTCGAACTCGGAGCCGACATCGAAGCTCGGACGGGACATGGCAGGACGCCGCTGCACCTGGCGGCAGCGCAGGGGCAGGAGGAGGTTGTGCGGCTGCTGCTGTCGAAGAATGCGGACAAGAACGCGAGGACACCGAGCGGAGAGGCAGCGGCAGAGCTTGCGAAGAAGTACAAGTATAACAAGGTAGAGCAGCTGCTCAAGGAATGAAGACAGCAGCTGCAGGAAAAACTTGATGGAAACAGGAGGGGGTGAGTGGACTAGGATGATTTCTGCTTGGAGGGCTTTGAGGTGGAGGAGGTGTCACTACCCTTGTCCTCCTCTCTCGCAGACGGCGTCCTCCTGCGGATCTGAGACTGCCTCCTCTCATTGAAAGCCGTCTTGCTCACCATGTTTTCCGGCCTCTCCGTCAAGCTCCACTGCTGCTCGACCCTCCGGAAGTGCCGCAGCCTCTTGGCGCACGTGATGGCTAGAGCGCGGTAGAACCTCGCGGCAAAGATGGGCCGGATGGAGCAGAGCGTCTGCACTTGCTCGTAGGGAGTGATGAGGCACGTGGCCTGCCGTCAACATGTCAGTGTGAGTGAGCAGGAGGTGGGATGAAGCGACGGCTGAAGCAGGAGAAGGGCAAGAGGAGGGGGAAGTGTAACGGGAAGGGGAAGGGGAGGAGGGAGGGGCACAGGAGGCAAGAAGGGAGGGGAGGGGAGGTACATCTTCTCGTGCGATGATGCTAGCAGTCGACCCTGAGCTGTTCACTTGGAAGAACCTGCTCTCCCCGAGGATGTCTCCGGGTCCTGCATCGATCATTGTCTTGCCGTGCCGAGAGAAGAGGATGGCGTTGCCCGAGATGACGTGGACTAGCATCCTGTCGTCAGCATCGATACCCATGATGACCTGCCAGCCCAGTCAGTCACGTCTTCTCAGCTTCTCTGCTCAGTCTCTTGCTCTACCTCCCCCTTGCTGAATTTCTTCACCTCCGAGACGCTGAACAGCTGCTGGAGAAATTCCTTGGCTTCGTCCAACCCGCCCTCTCCGGGCAGCACGTAGCCAAACTTGGTTCTGTCGTAGGAGAAGAGCATCTCGTTGCTGCGCGCCGTCTCGATCTCGCTCTCCAGGTCCTGAATCCTGCTGTTGATGGTCGAGCAAAGGTTGGAAGCCGCCTGGGAGCTGGGAAGGAAGAACTTGGTGTCCTGCCGGCTCCCAGCGCTGCCGAAGAGAGACTTGGCGAAGCTCTCCGTCATGTAGCTCTCGTCCGCCCCTGCCGCCATCACCAGCTGCCGGGGAAGAAACTTGCGGGCAAGTCGGTTCGTGAGGATCCAGCTGGCGCCGTTGAGCCAGCCGTTCCCAGCTGACGGGGACTGCTTTGCGTCTCCGTGAAAACCTTCCTTGAGGACGATGGTCAAGTGATCGCCTGCAGCCTGCGCAGAGCTGACGTTGCGCATCGGGAAGAGAACGTCAGCATTCCGTCTGAACACGTTGCGTTTGGCAAGGAAGATGACCCAGTTGTTGAAGACCGACAGTCGCCCAGCAAGTACCGTCCCGTCCTCCGTTCTGAACTTGGCAGCTTCGCTGAACAGAAGACGCTCCGTCATGGGGATGCCGAAGCGTCTCGACACTTGTTTCATCAGCTTCGAGTGCTTCGCATGCAGCCCGGTCATCTTGATGTCTCGTTTTGCTCCTGTCTTGCCTGCTAGTCGAGAGATGAGCTGCCTCACTGTCCTCGTCTTCTTCAGCATGTCGATCGCCATGTACTCGTACATCACCGCGCTCTCGTTTGCACTGAGCTCTCCGAGCACTAGCGGAGGGAACCCGTTGCTCTGAGCCTCGAAGGTCAGCCGACGGATGGTAACTCGAGAGCTGTAGGCCTTGACGACTGGGACGGAGCTCGAGTCAGCGCCGAAGAGGAAGCTGTCTTCGCCGACGAGGGAACCGGAGCCAAAGCACAGGTTGTCCATGGACGAGTCCAAGTCCTGCGAGGACCTGCTGGGCATGAAGGACATCATCCTGCCCTCCACCACCAGCACGATCGAGCGCTCGTTGCGACCAGCACCTTGAAGCTCCACCACCCTACCGGTCTCAAGGACCTCGAGGAGAGCCTGGGGGCGCTGGAAGAGACTGAGCGCGAGGCCTTGAATGTCGACGCGACGGTTGGCCGGGCCTGACTTCTTGGACTGCAAGCTAGAAGGAGCCCAGAAGTCACTCTCGTTGGTGTTGACCCGCGACCTCCCGCCCTCTGAGCTCGACGAGACTTTCTCGTCGAAGGTGAGGGAGAGGTAGAAATCGTCTCGGTACCTCCGCTCAGTGCTGGAGTAGACCTCGTCGATCTGATGGACTCGGCGCGTCAAGGAGAAGGGAGGTAAGGGGAGGGGAAGGGAAGGGAAGGGAAGGAGAGAAGGGAAGAGGAGGAGAGGGGAGGGGTACCTCATGCTTGTGAAAGGTGAGGTGTTCCTGATGGAAGGCTGTGTTGAAGGATACGAAGAACATGCTCCTTCCTGTGAGATGGCCATACCGAATGAAACTCGCGCCATGGCCGAGGGTTCCCCGGCAACTGAGAGGGTCTTGTCACTTGAGGCCTACAAGGAGCGACGGGCGTACCGGACGGAGTCTTTGTTCCTCGATGTGTAGGAAGACATAGGAATGCTGTCGTCCTCTTTGAAGGCGAAGAAGCGGATGCGGACGTCTCCTCGTAGCGCGACTCTCCCGATCTTGAGCACCAGTTGTTTTTCTCTGTTCCACTTGTCAGTCAAGGTTATCAAAGGGCCCGAGCGCTCACTTGCTCATGAAGTGCTTCATGGGAACAAGCCCGCACTGCTTCCCGTGATCATACTGAATCTCACCGTCGCACTCTACCACGAAGGACAAGGCAAATCGCTTCATGAAGTGAACCTAAAGGAGCAAATCGGTCAGAAGCGAGACGTCAGTTCCTGCGCTGATGACCTGCAGGTTTCCGAGAGTGATTTTCTCGAGGACCAACCAATGGTCGGAGAAGACGTCGATGTTGAAGTAGAGATAGGCTTCGAGGTAGTGGATGTATCTGATCTGTGATGGCGCTGCTACCCCCTGGGTTGCCTCATTCGACGTCCTTGACATGGTCCTTCTCCGCGCAAACTCATCCATGCAGTTGCCTGCAGTGAGGCGGGTCAGTCGGAGCTCCGAGCGATCAGCATGCACTTACTACAAGTCTTGAAGACTTTAGTCCACAGCATCAACGAGGAGACAAACAGTCCTGTCCTCCCCTTGCCGCCTCTGCAATGCACAATGACCATATTCTGAGGGGAGGCTTCGAGCCAGTGAGACGCCGTCTCACAAAATCGTATCTGCGGGGAGGAGTCATGAGGAGAAAACAACATGACGAGCCTCACTAGCTGTGTCAACAGAGGTGCATTGTGGTCGTAGAATGGTATCTTGCGAACTTGACCGTACAAAAGGTCGGTGTCATAATTTCCATTTCCGTTCTCCTCATGATCTTCGCAAAGGTTGAACACTAGAAACACCCCATAATGCTTCGTCGCAAGCAGTTTGGCTACATCATGGATGTCGTTTCTGTGCACTGCATCATCGACGCAAGGAAGGGCCATGGCGATCAAGCGGTCGCAGATGTACGTGAGGTCGAGGTCCACTTTGATCTCTTGATTCATGTACCTCCTCTTGCTGGTTGAAACCGCTTTCTGAAGCTGCTGTCGAAGGTACGCTTTCATACCAAAACATTGAATCAAAGTCAGAATTGCTCTTGTCATGTGCAGGTGGCTATGAACTTTTACGATGAGAAGGTGACTTCTTTCGAGTTCATCAGGGTTGAAGATGAAATCACACTCCCGGCAATGAATCACCAAGACAACAACTGAGAACACCAGGATGCAAGCATGTAAATTGTGTTGGAGCAGCTCCTCGACGCTGTAAAGAGATCTTGAAACGAAGTAACGTAGCCCAACAATCCTTGCTCCAAAAGAGGACGGCTGCAGAATGTTGGAACACAAGATTGCAAAATGCCAAATGATCAAGAACGCGAGCAAGCCGACGATGTTCGTCCTTGGTTGCATGGCACCAGCTAAGAAAGGATCAGGCTCATCGTTTTCACCCAACACTTGATACCTTGATTCGGGATTGCAGAGGTTACATTGGGAGGTACAACATAATCACAGATAAAATCGAGGGTCGGCTCAGCGATATGGATAGCGATTGCAGAAGCTGATGTTCACATTCAGCGCCTGGCAATCTCAACAAGAAAGATTTACAGAGATCAAGTATGGCCAACGTGATAAAGCCGAACGTTTTGAAGTAAGGCATATTCTTGGACAGCTCTGGAGATCAGTCAGGGTTGGCACAAACTCTTAGCCTAATCACTTGTAAACACGTTGCTGTCATCTTCAACATCATCTTCTCCGAAGGGTCTCTTGTACTTAGACGCCCTGCCAGCTCATCAGCTTTGCGAATGATTCTTGAACAGCAGTTACCTATTCACAGAGTCTTTCCATGTAGCTTGTCTGACATAACACGTCTATTCACATCATGCTGCTTTGGTCAAGAGAATTCTTACCGATTCGCTGGCTTCGCTTCGATTTGTGGAATAGGATGCTCTAAGTAAATGTCAGTCTGATTGTTCGACACATTCCAGTTGCCCACTGCTTTCGATGACGGACTCTTGGTCATACAACAAGCGAAGAGGGTGCGAAAGAGTTCTGCCATGAACAGGAGGCGGCAAACCGTTTTCGTAATCCTTCTCTTCGTCAAAACATCTAGCGGCACATTAGAAGCTGCGAATTGACTACCTCTTTGTACCTCTCAGCGTCTCGGCATGATGTGTTTCTGTGCATCATTGACATAGAGACATCCGACAAGTTTGTTAGCCACTTGCCCATAGCAGCCACGCTCCCTCGACGTCCCTATGCAAATTCACACCAGGTCAAGGGCGAGCAAGGATGGTACCTGGCGATGAGGACGCGCTGGTTTGGCTTTCCCATCATCTTGCATCGTCTCTTGCAGCTGATGTGAGTTCTTCACCCCTGCTCTCCAAAGTCACATCTATCATCATTACAGTAAGAACTAAATCACCGTTGCTGAACTCAGATGTCTTGGACTCTTTCAGTGAGATTTCTACATCCTTGCTGAGTATCGAGGACCCTTCTTCTTCAAGGACATCAAGTTCGCGGCATATTTCAGAGATTTGCTGCAAGTACTCTTCATTCTCAGTCATGAGCTCGTGATACGAAATCCCTTCATTATGTAGAACCATTTCCAAGGTTCCCTGGTGAGGAACCCCCAGGTTCGAAGGCCTTTCCCGCTCGTTGTCGGTGTCGGTCATGGTGGAAGCAACGGAATGCGAGAGGTTTGAAGGCTCCATGCGAGCTAGGAGGCTTTCATCTCATCTTGCTTGTTGATGAGGGGAGGTGGAGACATCGAGTCCCGCGGCATCAGCGAATTCTGCTACTTGTACGTTCGTCTACTCAGAGCGGTGATTCCGTGAGGGAGCCCTGTGTGGTCTAGCAGGTAACTGTTTCTGCTTCTCATCCTGCTATGATCGAGCTTCGATCGCTCTCCCTCTTCATCGCGTCGTCTTCTCCGCATCATGATGCTGCCTGGCCCCCTGCGTTGCCATTATGCGGGCCTCCGTCTTGCTCCTCCAACTCTGCATAGCATTTCAAGCTCACCTCAGTACCTTACATAGTTTGAATTATATGGCAGCGATTCAATCACCAACATCGATTAAGTCTTATCTCTCTGTCAGCTCCTGGTAGGTCCTTCTGACTGTCAGCACCAAAAAAAGGACCGAAGTTGCCTGTCACGTTTTTATCACTTCAGTCCGAGTCAGCAGCCTGCATGTCATCATGACTTGAAGTCACAGTGCACAGTTTTACTAGCGGTCGTTTTGCATGACAGTGTGAAACGCCGGACAGTAGATCTGAAGAAGTCTAGCGACATGGTGCAATCATAAGAACAAGACCTGATGGCGAAATTCCTTGCTGAAAGATCCGACGGAAAGACCAGAAGTGGCCCTGGAAATGAGAGCGGAGAAGAACAAGCTTTTCAAAGGTAATGCAGAAGCTGGTACCATCGCAGAGGGAATTCCCAGCGAGTCCTTCGACGAAAGAGTTGAAGGCCTGGGGTTCGCTCCCATTAAAGTGGAGAATCTGCCAAGCAAGCCTTGAAACACAACCCCACGAACGACAGGAGAGATCGCAAAACCCACGGCCATTAGGATGACGACACTGATGATTGCTGGCAAGCATTGAAGCAGGTGAATGGAATTCATCGACGAGTTGTAAGGGCAAGAATTACAAGGAGCTCAAGGAAGAATTGAAACAAGCTCACAAGCAGGAGAAGAGAAGACTGAAGGAAGAGAAAAGTCGATAAAGAATGGATGCGGCACAATTGACCTTTAAGAGCATCCTGTTTTCCCTCGTAACTCAAAAGTAGTCACAATCCTGCAGGGACAAGCTCACATGATTGCGCTTGAGTGTCGCCTCGCGAGTGAGAGTTTATCTTTGTCGTCTTGTTTCCGTTCTGCGCCTTCTCACGTTTTTCCTGTCAAGGCGCAAGTGCTCTGCAACTTGAACTGCCTATGAAATATCAGGAGAGCGCGGGCAGAGAAGAGGGACGAGTATGACAAGCAGGACCATTCCATGTACGGGCCGACAGCAAACCCGAGGTGAGCTCAACTGCGCCCCTTACCTTTTTCGGTGAGACAATCATATTAGGACCCTTGCAAACTCCGGCTTCAATCTTCTCCTGTATACAGAGGTGCCAGTGCTCTCGCACCCTTAAAACGATCTGGTCTAGCGCAGAACTAGAGTCGTGATTGAGATTACTTCAGTACATCACTGAGATATGGGAGGCTTCAAAACATAAACTTGCTGATTTAAAGGTGATCAAAGAGACCCCGGGCCATACTGATGTTTGTATTGCTCTGGCATTATGCAAATACACTCAACTCGTGCTCCGTCATCACTGGTAGAGCCGGCACCCGCATAAACTCCCTCTTGCTGTGTTCAATGATCACAAGGACCATCAGGAGAGCCTCCGAGGAGACTTACAGACCATGACAGTGAATGAAATTTTGCAGCCCACGATGCAATTGCTGCCTTCGTGAGTTTTTTTAACCAAGACTTACACATTTGACGCTAGAGTGTACATTGAAGGGCCATCGCATCGGATTGACACTATAGTTGGATGGTCCAGGGCTGTTGTCATCTGTCTTTGCTTAGCATGAGCTCATCCTCCAGCCCCCTGCAGAAAGCCAACGCACTCAAAGGCGATATTGAGAAAACAACACATTACCATGGGATGAATTCTTCTTTCTCCTCGTCAAACACATAGCAGAAAGCATTCCTAGGCCTCGCACAGGCGTCAAGGTAGCTGCATAACCACACCTCGACTTTGTCTACAATCATAAGCTTTCCGAGTCCACCCGTCTTGATGGCATTGTTCCTAGGGAGCTCTTGCCATTTCTGTTGCATTCGGCAGCCGAGATAGTCAGGATGGAGAGTCCAGACCTGAGGTGTTGGTCCTGGTGACGTGTCTCTGGTGTTTTTGCAATGAGTTTCGTTGAAGCATGGTTCTAAGTTCATGTCCAGATGAGCAAAACTTGGCCAGGATGAATGATAGCACGGTAAATTGTTGCCTGTCAGGTCCAAATAGTAAAGCGAAGACAAATTAGTGAAAGCCTGGGAGAAAATGCAGGAAATATTGTCGTTGTGTAAATCTAGCCACTGCAAGCTCGAGAGCCCGTCGAAGATCCCCGCAGGCAGGCTCTGAAGGCTGTTGGAGGCAAGATCTAGCCCCTGCAAGCTCGAGAGCCCGTCGAAGATCCCCGCAGGCAGGCTCTGAAGGCTGTTGGAGGCAAGATCTAGCTCCTGCAAGCTCGAGAGCCCGTCGAAGATCCCCGCAGGCAGGCTGTCCACTTTTCTTAGACCCAGATAGGACAAGCTCATCAGTCTGTCGTAAGGAACCACCCCGATATTGTTGATGTCAAGATATAGCAACTGCAAGCTCGAGAGCCCGTCGAAGATCCCCGCAGGCAGGCTCTGAAGGTTCATGTCTTCAAGATATAGGTCATGCAAGCTCGAGAGCCCGTCGAAGATCCCCGCAGGCAGGCTCTGAAGGCTGTTGGAGGCAAGATCTAGCCACTGCAAGCTCGAGAGCCCGTCGAAGATCCCCGCAGGCAGGCTCTGAAGGCTGTTCTTGTACAGAATCAGCCCCTGCAAGCTCGAGAGCCTGTCGAAGATCCCCGCAGGCAGGCTCTGAAGGTTGTTGTTGTATAGATCTAGCCCCTGCAAGCTCGAGAGCCTGTCGAAGATCCCCGCAGGCAGGCTCTGAAGGCTGTTGGAGGCAAGATCTAGCTCCTGCAAGCTCGAGAGCCCGTCGAAGATCCCCGCAGGCAGGCTCTGCAGGTTGTTATTGTGTAGATCTAGCCACTTCAAGCTCGAGAGCCCGTCGAAGATCCCCGCAGGCAGGCTCTGAAGGCTGTTGGAGGCAAGATCTAGCCTCTGCAAGCTCGAGAGCCCGTCGAAGATCCCCGCAGGCAGGCTCTGAAGGTTGTTATTGTGTAGATGTAGCCCCTGCAAGCTCGAGAGCCTGTCGAAGATCCCCGCAGGCAGGCTCTGAAGGTTGTTGTTGTATAGATGTAGCTCCTGCAAGCTCGAGAGCCCGTCGAAGATCCCCGCAGGCAGGCTCTGAAGGTTGTTGTTGTGTAGATGTAGCCCCTGCAAGCTCGAGAGCCCGTCGAAGATCCCCGCAGGCAGGCTCTGAAGGCTGTTGAAGGCAAGATATAGCTCCTGCAAGCTCGAGAGCCCGTCGAAGATCCCCGCAGGCAGGCTCTGAAGGTTGTTATTGTATAGATGTAGCCACTGCAAGCTCGAGAGCCCGTCGAAGATCCCCGCAGGCAGGCTCTGAAGGTTGTTATTGTATAGATGTAGCCACTGCAAGCTCGAGAGCCCGTCGAAGATCCCCGCAGGCAGGCTCTGCAGGTTGTTGTTGTATAGATAGAGCGAAAACAAGCTCGAGAGCCCGTCAAAGGTCCCATTTGTTATATTTCGAATATCACGGGAGCTCAAAGACAAACTGTAACAGGTCCAAACACAGCTTCCCTCCCTTGACAGCAGACCCTCATCCGAGACATGAAACGTACATTCTCCACAGCTCACATTGCTTGCAGCCTGGGCCTGCGGGAACATACCGCCCAAGACTACGACCACAAGCACACAGCAAGAGAGTATCCTCATCCTCCCTCCTTGACTCGTGCGGTCAGGTTTCATTTTATCCTTTCCTCGCGCACTGCAACTGATTTGACTACCGGTCCTCTGGGAACCCTTCCAGTTGACAGGGACCACCCCACCCTTATCGGTATCGTGGACTGTCGCCCAAAGCATGCCATCCGCGGTCTTCTTTACTCAAAGTTAAGTGAAAAAATAGTGGTATTGACACCGATACAGACAACAGACAATTTATATATGGTGCATGCGCTATATATGTATAGAAAGAATAGCATGGAGCCCTTTCTTTTACTTAAAGTTGAGTAAACTTTCTTAGTTAAGTAACGTTCACAATGCAGGAAGCACAATGAAGAGCATCGACGCCGCCCTAGAGCAAGGATGATGGTGTTCTACATCCGATCACGTCTTAGGATCATTCTAGGCATAGTTGTGCATTACTTCTACACATCTTTCAATCATGATAAGGATAGAAAACCTTTCATGTTAGAGAAGAACATGGTCTGAAAAATAGTTGCGCATTACTTCTACACATCTTTCAATCATGATAAGGATAGAAAACCTTTCATGTTAGAGAAGAACATGGTCTGAAGAATCATACTTGTCTTGTTGAGATTCCCAAGTTGTCATTATCATGATGTCGTCCATCCCCAACTGTCTCCAATATGCAAGTCCCTTGAGCAACCATATCACGCTTGTTTCCTTTGTACACTGCACGATCATCCACACCCTAATCACAAAAGCATCTTCAAGCTCCCCTTACCCCGCACTTGTCCCATGATCCCATCCCCATGAACATTATAGAAGTGACAAGGTGTAATCGTTGTTGCATGCAGGATAGCATCCAACTTCCCAATGTGTCTGTACCTGATCCTGTCAAACCTGCGCATACTCCTTCACCCCCATCCCCAGTTATCTGGTATTGCACTTGCATGTTTGTAGACATCTCCGACAGGTACTATGCTCTTCTGTATTGCACATTAATGTATTACACTAGTAACTACACCAAAACATCTCTACATCCTTCGCCCTCGCCCGCTCTTCCTAAGCGAAAGTAAATTCCTGTGATATGTCAAGCGAGGGAAGATCCCCCTCCCACCCCAAACAAAATCATACTCACCCAGTGCTAGCAGAGGACATACTTCAGGTGAACACACGTTGCTGTAGACATGCTTTGGATCCCGCGGTTTCTCACCAGCCTGATCATTTTTTGCGTGAATTACGTAGAAGCGCAAGGCATCCCCGACGAATTCCATGTGATTGTACAACAGTGTGCATACGTTTCTGGATCTGGACATCAAATTCCAAGCCAGAATCAAAAAGGTCCTGGCCCAAACATATTCTCTTTCTGGTTTCTGTAGCATAACCTTGGCGAACACTGAGTACAAATCGTATGACAATGGTACATTGCCGGTTGTCACTTTTGCATCTTGATTGCAAGATTGAGAAAGATTCAACGTTCGCTTCAATCCTCTGAAGTCACTGCTCAATGTTTTCACCGCCTCGATGCTCAGTGTAACCCCGTAATTCTTGAGCATGTGCATCTTGTACGACGAGCATGTTTGGAATGTTAGTTCTGGATTTTGTTGAACTTTATGGGTCACCCAGTCAAGAAACATCACTGGCGTGAATTTTTCAAAGTGGGTGGGATTAATTTGCTTCTGTAACATTATACTCTCTTCATGTAAGTTGTAGTTGGTAAACTCTCGTCCGTCGTCGCCGGCTCTGTCACCTGATCTGATCCGTTCAAGAATTTGTCACGTTCTTCACGCATGTTCGTTTTGAATTCATCAGTTCTGAGAGCATAATACTCGTCATTCGCGTATAACCATTCTATGAAGAGTATCATGTAGTTCATATACATCTCTCTGGTCTTCTCCGATACATTGTTCTGCTGAATGCGTGTACGTCTTTCCTCGAATTCTCTCCGCTGTTGCACACATAACACAGCAGCTGTGGATTGAGGACGCTTGCAACCTCGCCGTGCCCAAGGCTGCACCGGCGATTGATCCAATGGGGCTTCAGGTTGCAAGACGTTTTCGTCTCCTTCCACAGCAAAAGCTGGAACAGCCTGTTCCCCTCCTACCTCTGGCCCCGTTGAATCACTGTCATGAACCTCTTCCATTACCTCCTCCTCATCCCCGGAGTCCCCCCGATCCTCTTCCGCCGTCACTTCCACTTCAGCACTGCGTAAGACACTTCCCTCTGCGCCAGACAGACCTATGCTTCCGTAGTTAAAAGCTTGGTGCCGCTGAAGGACGTAATACCCCCCACCCCAGAATTCTGTTCAAAAGAGGGGTACTACTATGAATCCATCTTATTCACGTGTTTGCTTTTTTTAATTTCTTTTTGCTACTACCTGGGTCCTATTGTTTCATATGTACATAAGCAGCTATATACAAATGAAAAAAACGAATTTGACGGATTCCGTCGGGCTCTACGGTTTGCAAGCCCCTCATACAGCCCGCACATGCCCAGTTTTGGTCCGTGACGGCTGGTGCCGTGACGGCCCGTTATATTACAGATACATAGTACTCCTTCCATGGATCCGGGCCCCGGGCCGGCGGCCCTGAAGAGGTACGGTCGGTTTAGCCGATCAGCGACGTCACTGACTCAGTGAGTCTTCTTTACTCCAAGTTCAGTTAAAAATCACTGAGTACGAGCCTGCCCTATCAGGAGAGTCGAGGAGGCTTGACCTGACACTGTCGCACAGGCCAAACGGCGAGAAGAGAAAAGACAGCGAGAACCAAACCTATTTCTGCACTTAACTGATACATTCACTTAACACATTACAAACCATACTATAACATGTACTGCCAAATATCATCGCTTCTAGAGTCAGATCCGTCGTGATGGTGACAGGCTCGGTTCTTTCAATTTACGAATCAAGGGCATGAATAGGAAGCTTGCCTTGTTGTACACCCTGAGCACTGCAGCGGTACTAATTGATAGTGATTAATTGCCAATCATATTGAATATACAAGTTTATCTCATGGAGACCGTTCATCTTGACATTCCTGAGCTGCTGAGGCATCAATCTTCTTGAGTCTCACAATGGGAAGCACGCGACTCGTCATACAGGGACCACGGCCCTTGATGCGCACCGAGCATCAGGTCGAAGGTGGCCCTTTGACTCGAACCCCTGGGCCACATTTATTAGCAGGGGATTAGCCCTCCCCTTGACTAAAACATTTGTACCAGCAGCTGGGGTTATGAGTAAAACTGGCACCCACCGGTGGTACAAATTTGACTCATCCGTTGATCGCGCATCGTCGAGACCGTAAGGACGCAGGAGAGGAGCGAAGAGGAGAGGATGAGATTGACATGCCAGTGAGTTAGATGATGAACAAGACAGCAAAGACCCTGTTTGTCCTTTGCTCCACCTTCCTGCTCGTCAGATCTCAAACCGAAAAGTGCTATACGGCAACCATGCCCGACATTGATGGTGGTGCGTCTCATCCGTTATCTCCTTATCCTCGTTGCTGAGGTTGAGCAGGAAAGTGCGGCAAAATCACGGTCAGCTACGGATCCTGCATTTCTCTTCAAGATGCTCAGAATCATATTGCAAAATCAAAGGACCTTTCTATCACTGCGCCAAAGGATGATTCTGCATGCAAAACTCTAGCATCTAATGATTGTGGCATCTACGAGGTGAGCAAACAACTGGTCTTGTTTCTTCTGACTCTTCCTTGCAGTCGCTGTCCTCCGTCACATGCAGCGACTACTGCAAGTTCTACATTCCCAACAGGCAGAGCGGATGCTTGGTTGACTCTGATTGCTCGATAAGTCACGTTGCGACGTTGCGATGCTGCCGATCCTACCAGATGAGGAGTGAGACTCTATGCAACATGACTAGCTCTCAGATCACCGCGCAGATCGAGAATTTGAAGCTCGTCAGGTCCTGCACTGATGCTTCCAGTTGCTTCAACCCGTTCTCATCGGCCTCAGGCTCTCCCCCGGCGAGCATGCTGCAGTTGCTGTGTTTGTTATGCCTGCTCCTGTCTCTACAGCTCATCCAGTGAGGATGATATGAGACATGTCAGGGTAGAGGGACATTTTGAGTTCGATCCTGAAGGGGGGAACCTGCAGCGAAAGTGTGCAACGGGATGATTGTTTGCTTCGATTTATCAACACGGAATGAAGAATAGTGACAAAGAATAAAAGTTTCTACGAAGTAGTTGTGCCAGCAAGACAACTGCTTCTGTTATCGACGAGCTTCTGGTTGGAGTGGAGGGAAGGACCAAGAGTCTTCAGACTGCAAACTTGACTTGTAGTGGGGGTTCCGGCTTCCCTGTACCTCAAGTACTCTCACCCATGATGCGAGTCATCAAGCGCAGGAAGGGAACGATTCTTCCTCCCTTCACCCTCCCTCCCTCACTGAGCAATGGTACACACTGATGGACCTTTGACGCCTCAGGGTGACAAGGGCTGTTCGAACCCCTCGCCAACAGGGTCGGACAAGATGCCGCCCTGCACTTGCTGCGGGAGACAAGTCAGAAGACGGAGGGAGGAGCATCGGGAGGTCCACCGAACGATCCAGTGCTCGGTTTGTGCGCTTCAAATTTGCCTTGAAGGAGAAGAGGACCAGGACGACGCTGTGACGACTCAGAGGGCAGTCGGAAGGGTTGGCATGTCACCTGACGAAGAACAGCACGTTCTGCAGCCAGAGGAAGTTGATGTATCCAGCCATGCCGGAGACGGCCATCACCTGACCGCCACCACTACAGGTCATCGCCCTCCAGCTCCCTCGCAGCCCTACCTGACTGAGCTGGACGAATCCGAAGGTGCTCACTCCAAACACTGTGAGGCAGACACCTTGTAGGAGGAAGCCGCAGGGGTTAGAATGGCTGGGCCCCGATCGACCGGACACCGGGTACCTGCTGAGTAGATTTCTGGCTGGGGATAGGTGACTTCAGCTACCAACTCCTGCAAACAAGTTGAGTTCTAGTGGTTGCTTCCAACATAGCTGCAGATCGTCTCTGAGCCCAACTCCTCCCTCATTGCTGCCTTGATCCTTTTTCTCATCGTCTTTCTCCTGCATCTCACCAGGAGGATTGGTGCAGCTGCAGAAGTGAAGAATCCGACCCAGAAGAAGCAAAACGCAATGGAGCTGTGGGGCAAGTCACGCCCTGTACCCTCCAACGAGAAGCATTCATCACCTGAACATCTTAGGAGCAAGAGAGAAGGTAAGACCGAGCTGAGCAATAAGACTTCCTGTCTGCGAGATCTGCATGATCCACACAGGCCACCTAACGAGGTTGTGGGTCAAGGTAGGAGCTCCGCGTCCCACCCCATCACCTCTCGTCCCGAGATCTCAACATGTCAGCGATAGGAGAGAAGATGAGTGGGGACATGGACCCCCATCCTGAAGGCGGGCGAGACAGCAATCAGCCAAGCGCGAGGTCGCAGGACACAGTCGGTACTTGCGATCGACATGACGATGTCTGCTTCATGCTGTCTCCCTGATCACAGTGCCACCTCCTCCGAACAAGCTGGGCCAGTACCTGCCCATAGCCGATGTCGCTGAGGATGCTAGTGACCAGGATGAGACCCTGGAAGGAGCGTCACGGCCGGCCGGAGGCTGAGGAGAGAGGAACCCATCCGTATCCATCCAAGGTGAAGACGAAGAGAAGGATGAGGAAGTTGTAGTCCTGCAGGACATCCTCTCACGAGAGCCGCAGGGTCTTCCCACACCATAGGCCCACCTTGAGCATCGTGACGATGGAGGAAAGGGCGGGAGCGTTGGTGGAGGCTGATTCCTTTCTAGAGCGTCAGCGAATCTTTCCTCCGTAAT